CACGTCGACGTGCTCGTTGTTCCCGGCAACGTTCGAAACGGGAGTCGACACTGTTCAACGAACGAAATTGTAACCTTCCCCTACCCATTGTGCACCAGTGACCGTGGCAAATACGCGATAAACAGGAAGATGAATGCGAGCAATAGCGAGGGGCCGGTCATTGAAAATTTCAGGCAGCCTGAATCGCGCGTTCCTTTCGCGAGTAAACGCGAAATAATTTTATACAAACGAAACCCGTTCGACCCGTGAAATTCCTTCGAATGCGCTTTCTTTTTCAGATCAGAATTTTTCGAAATCCAACGAGCGTAAATATTTAAATTTCGATAAACAAAAAAAAAAAAATGAAAGATTAAGATTGAGATTAAGTTTGGGACGAAGACGCGTTAAAGCTCGTTTCTCTCGTCGATTACAACGAGGAAATAGTTATTCACAGGTGGTGAAATTATGTTGGACGATTTCGAGCGATCGCTGTGCAACATTATCGAGAGAAACGGTGTACCGAATCTGTTAATCACAAAAGCTCGCTGTTCCTCGCGTGCTCATTATACTTGGCAGGCTTTCCATTGAACGATGCAGAATTATCATCGATCAGCCGATAGCATTACGATTCCATTATCTGCATCTGTGCCGAACTCGGCCCGGCTAACCCTCGCTCGTTACCAACAGCCTCCATCTCCAACCCGTAATCCCATCATTGTACTATACCTTACGAATATTACCAATATTTACTAGACGCGCTCGTTAACCAATTTTTCTTAAAATCATTATTCTCAAAAACGTTTCTTCGTGTATATATATATATTCGAATTTTTCCAATTTCCCCTTTATTCCAATCGTTTTTATAAAATCCGATTCAAGCGAAGTAATACGAAGCAAGTTCTCCTTGATTTTTCTCGAAATTGACGAGGATATTAATAACGTTGGAGGGAATTAATCAAAGGATAATAATCTTTATTTTTCCCTCCCTTTCGAACTCCTCGTTTCGTGGAGGGAGGATGGACCATCGTCTTAGGTGCGTCGCGAAACAAAGAAGGCTAACGACATTTGACGGGAGGACGACAGGCGTCCGCCCGCGAAATGGTCGTGGGCCAGACTGGCGCGTCGCATCGACGCGTCCCACGAAAATCTCGCGGCACTCTCTCGTGGCGGCGAAGGGCGCAGGCGCCCCCGACGTCCGGTATCCGGTGGCGGCAAGCCGACTCCGGATTTTCTCTCTAGTGTCGCGTCAACCGCCGCTCGAGTGTCGCGCGCGTCGTCCTGCACCCTCGACTCGGACTCGACTCGAATCCAACCCTCCCTCTCGATTCCTCGACGCGCGCTCTTCGCCTCCTCGATGCCTCCGGCCATGGATTCCATTCCGACGGGATGGTTCGCGTGATTTTGAACGGGGCAGGTATACACCTCTATCTCGCAATTATGAGGGAGAAACGTTAGAGAAACCGTTGAACCGTCGTGAATCGTGTGTCGCGGCGGAAAACGGGTGTCGACACGTGTGTTTATATTTATTATATTATTACACTCGTACGTTTACGTTATCGTATTATTATTCGTTCGCTCGAAATACGATAATATCGTCGCGATGTCGGGCGAGAAGTGTATGTAAACACGTGTACGTAAACTCGTGCCGTGTATTATTCGCAGTCGGCGTTTCGTCGTTCGACCGATCGCACGCAGTGAATTATTTTGCGGGAGAGGAAAACGAGGAAAGGATCGTCGCGTGTGTATGTGTGTGTGTGTCGCAAAGAAATCGGGGGCAATCGGAGAAAAGTGCGTCGACTATGAATTGGTGGAAAGTGCGAGCTGTCGTGAATCCATCGGAGACGTCGCCCGGCTGTGAAGGAATGCTCGTGTCGGGCGCCGAAGCACGAGGGACGTCGCATCTTTAACGTAATGGTGAGTGCGCTCTAAATACCCTCTTTCCGAGTTTCGAGTCGGGTTGAAATCCGCGCGGGGAAAAAATAAATCTTTCGCGGCAAGAAGAGTAGCAATTTTTCGGAAAATATTTTCGTCGTGTCGTTGTTGTTTTTCGTACAAGGAAGGGGGATGGAAGGGGGAATAAAAAATTGCGCGTCGCGCGTTGGACGCGTCGTGAGTTGTTGCGAGCCGCGCGAGATTTTTTCTTTTTTTTGTATTTCTTGTAACACGGCGTACAAAGTATCGCGGTTGAATCGTCGTTGCGATCCGTCCACCATTTTTCTCTTTCTTTTTTCCGCACGCGCACCCCCCGCGCGAAAACCCCGATTTCACTGGGAAACGTTTGAACGGAACATTGATCCCTCATCGGATTAATGTTTTTCCAACATTGCCCCGAGCCATTCTACTTTCACGATTGAAAATAAAATCAAGGGACGATCGTTCTTTTTCGTCCTCGATCTACGTGGTTCGCGTCATACGTAAATATGTTTCACATGGGTTGTATACGTTCTCAAATTTGAAGAGAAATATTTTAACCGAATATTACGTATAATTCTCACTTTTTTTTTTTTTTTTAAATTATAACTATGTAACCAAAAATACGATAAATTTTTCGGCAAATTAATTCGAAATTTGAAAGAAGACATATATATATATACGATTTAAAAAATAAAAGTGAAAAATAAGATTTTAGGGATGAAATATACGAAGACATATAATGCGTGTATACGTATATATATATATATATCTCGTGGCTGGATGCATAGAGTAGAAAAGGAGAGGCGACCAACTATTAACCGCACGTGTCGAGCCGCATAATTTACATACTTGAGTACGTATCTGCTCTCTCAGGTCAGACACAATGGCACCCGTACGATTTTACCGTATATACATATATGTATATTATCCCACTTTGCACACGCGCGCGCACACACATCGACACATCTGACACCTGAACAATTTGGATTGATCGTATCAACTGTTTAATCGCTTTATCCTAACCGGACAATGGAAGAACGATGCTCTGAGCAT